ATCAAAATAATTGATCTTTATTTGGGATATCAGCTTCTGTGTGGATGCTTTGGTATTGCCTGAAGATTCAATATCTTAATTTGGTGGTATTGGCCAGCAGTAGAACGTAGAGCTAACATTCTGTCACATTTGATAACACCAATAAATCATAACGATAAGTCTTCAGGTAGTACTGTGGCATGTAATTGGGATCCAAGATGCCAAACAGAAGACAATCAGTTCTATTCTGTGACAGGAAAATTACAAGTACCAATAAATAACAACTGACAAGTGTTTTCAAGTGATTGGCTTTCTGTTTCAATAACTTAGTGAACAACGTACTGGGGTTTGAAGCTATGTGCGCTGTGGTCGACTCCTAATTGGAACACCATCACTCACAAGTATGCAAGCTTATTCAGCTGGTGAGTTGTAAAAGAGACGAAATGGATGTTGTGAATTCCACTGATAAGCAACACCAGCAAATTACAGTATGATAAAAAGTACTATTTGTTTTAAACTGGATGAAAAGTAATCAGCAGCGGTATTGCTTTGCTGACTAATTGGGTTGAATGCAGAGACTTACAAACTGCAAACATCACAATTCGTTTTACCAGTGCTGACCATTCACCTTTCAATGAGCAGTTTATCAGCAACACAGAAAATTTAACCGCAATATGAAAAGATTTGATTGATAAGTGAAAAATTTAACTTTTAATTGTTTTTCTGTAAAATCAGACTGAAACCGAGAGTGTGTTTCTGGCGAATCGCTTATAAGTTACAAATTTCAATTTCCATCATAGAAAAGCATTAGTCAGAGAAAAATTTAATTCCTGGAAGTAGCGAATAACTGTTTAACCCTATCTGTCTATCGTTCTCCAGTGTTTTTTTAGCCAGTGTATGAAAGGTTTTACGTTCACTTCGGACCGAATGGCTAAACCTCCTGATAAATTGATAGTTTAACAATGAGATCACCTCTTGTACCTCTTCTTGCTGACGACTTCATGGCTAGCCTTGAGAATAGTACATTCCTCCTGACAGTCAGATAAATTCACGAATATGAAAGAAACATGAACGATACCTTCAATTTTTTAATGACAACCTGGACCTTACAGGCCTCCTTCAAAATTTCAAAGACGAGCACTCTTCAGTCCAGTTAATATTAGAAGCTAAATCAAACTCAAATTTTCACTTTCTTGACGTCAACCTCCAAAAAGCCTTGGTAATTTCATTTTAAAATCCTTCTAAAGAAAGCCCACTCGTGACCGGCAACTGACCAAATTTCAAGGTTGGGTGCATTTAGGTAGGGAGAGGAATCTCGTGCGCTGACGCATATCAAGAATAAAAAATGTATGCACTGATGAAGTGCTTATTAAAGAAGAATAGACCTTTCAAGAAACACTGTTATTAAATGGCTACCCATCCAGATTTAAAGGAGAAAAAATAAGAAAAGAAGTCCGTGGAAAAGAATCAATCAGCTGTAAAGAAAACACCTTTTTTGAACCTCAGATCCTAGAGTGATATTGCCGCAGGCATCCTTCGTCAACGTTTTTCAATGTCCTTAGGCAGAACAGTCCATGATGTGTACCTTTGTATTGTTTTTTTCATGTTAACAGCTGATTAGTCAGTGCGTCAAAGATTAGTTCACGAATTGGGCCTAGTCGATGAGCATTTACAAGTTCATTTGCTACTGGAAACTTTATTCAAAGTTTGTTACAACGTTGCCCTAAACACTTCAAAACACGTGCGGATTAGACACATATGTACAACTATGAGTATGTTTCATTTTCATACTTCATTTGGTTACTTGTACGTCTGTTTCTTCATTTTATCAGAAACAAAGTCTTACTGTTCAGTGCATTTTATGAAAACTATTTAGACCGTTTCTTGTGCTACATAACATCATTTCATTCCCTCTATATATTACTCATCTAAGTTCGATCTTTGGCCGCAAACTAGTCTGGAACATTCCATTCTTTTACTTCTATATTTACTGATGTTTGCTGAAGAAGATCGACTTGCCTATTTATCTACTAATTACTGCCTGTTTTTACTTTCAAAAATGTCGGTCCCGCTTAGATTAAGTTTACTGTATTTTATGTTCACATGTGGATTTCAAGTCTGTAACGATGCTAGATCTACATGCATTCAGTGGATTGCCAAATGGTGTCAGAAACAAACCTATACACAAACTTTTGTGTCGGTATTTCATGTTTTTATTTTGTTCTGTTACATAGGTATTTTATCCCTCAATAGTTTCGAGAAAAGAGGTATTTCTGTGGCTTTGTAATTCATAACCCAATTTTTAAAGTTTCCTTTGTGATGGAATGGATGTTGTCATCCAGTTGTTTTATTCGAAAATTTTGTCATTTCCTTGAAGCAACAATGAAAAACCTTTGTCTTGTTTACGCTGTCTATAATATCCACTATGTCTTTAAGATTTCAATACATTTTTCGGACTAGTTTTCATTGAAGCCATTGTGTTTACTTCGAAAGATTAGACTTTTCTGTATTGTACAAAATTGCTAAAGGATGCATGAAGATGATAACCAAATATATCTCATTTAAATAACATATTCGTATGTTATTTACTAAGTTGTCTTGCTAAATAAGAGAAACTCATTTTTTAACTGCCATGTATTCATCTACCATGTTGAAACATGTAGTATTACATTCCTTTGACTGTCAAAAAATTAAGTTATTTCATTGGTATCATTTTGGCCTTCGCCGTAGACTGACATCATCTAGAGTAGAATTGAAAAGCTGATGGAACTGGAAAGCTGCTTCATTCTAGTATGGGATTCCTCAGCACAGCGTACCCTACGAGTGACCGGAACAACAATCTCCAGGTTTCGGGTCCAATATGTCGCCACTGTGCCACTGGCTAGGAATCAGATGGTTCCCATTTTACTACTCTTGTTAACCCTGTATAAGCTCATTAGTTGGTTTATGATAGTGCTTATGACCTTTGACATTTTCTAGTCTTCAACCGTTGATTGATATCATTTTTGATGTGATCCCGGCAGTTGGAGCTTTCCTACACTACTGATAAGATAAGACAACGTATAACCTCGCACATGGATAAATCGGTTCAACCCGACACAATTCTAAGCAGTATACAAAGAACAGGCAGATAGAAAAAGTGATATCAAAGCAAATAAAGTTGTGTGCGAGAATAAAAATCTGAAGATGAAGGTTAAGTGCGAATATCCCAGCTTTAGAAGACGTTAAAGAGTGGATAAATCTACGCCATTATGACCAATTTTCAGCCGTGTTACCAACAGTCCTCAACCACTAATTCCTTTCGTCTCAAGCAGCCTACATCTCACACGACTCAGACCAACAGTTAAGGCCTTCATAGGCTGGAATCATATTTTGTTCTAGCATATATGTCATATAGTGGATATCCAGATTTTTTCCAAACCATAGAATATTAAGTTAGTATAGATGTCAATTATTTTACCAAATCAAAGTCCTTACAAATAGTTCAATTGCTTACGTGTGCGTTTCCAATAAAGGCTAACAATTAAGTAATCAGGAGTAAATAGAAAAGAAATTAAAAAAGGGATACAGTTGATAAAAAGAGAATAACTTTTAAGATGCGCTATAGAAACTACTTCGATTCTTCATTTATTTCAAAATTCTAAAGACAGTGGTAAGATAAAAAGATATTTCAGTGTTTGTTGACTGAAAAGATTAAATCTAAACTGATTTTCAAGACTTATTCAGTATACGAATAAAAATGTATCTTTCAATGTCCAATAAATCAACAATACATGACAGTTTGTATCAACTTAGAACTATATTGAAAAAAAAGATTGAATTTTTATTTCTAAGCATTTAGAAGTTATGAAATGTACTCTAGGTGTAATATCTTCCACCTTCATGTTGTTAACTGGATCATATGTAAGTGATAGATAGTGAATAGTAGTAAAAACTGGGACTATTGTTTCAAGTTACCATATCAAAACTTTACCATACTCATCCACAAGAAGTAGATATCTTGACTCAGTGGACTATATCGATAACTCTGTGGTGTTTGAAGCGATTACTACTAGGTTCGAGTCCTCATGGGAATAATATCACTCACTCGAAGGTAGGTAAGTCAAGTTGATGAGTCCCAAACAGGAGAAAATAGACGTCCTGGATTCCACTGCTTGTTATTATCCATCAGTAATATCAAAATGTACTATTCAATAATAGAAGAATGGTTATTTACTGTTTTAATGCACTTAAGTTATTAAGATTTTTGAGCACATATAATAAGTCTAGTCCAATTCCTTTTGTTTCTTCGAAAAGTTATCAAGTTTTGGTGTTTTTTTTACAACAAGACTGATACCTTGATTTCATTTAATTGTATTCAGTGCACTGTAATCATGAAACTGTTGTTGTATAGATAAACACATAACACGTGATTAAAATATAATTGTTGATGCTTAAGATGAAAAAATAACTACCTACTACTACCACTTGTTAGGATTTTTGTTGATATTATTAAAATGGTTTTTGCCTTACTTTTATTATTATTATTATTATTTTTCTTCTAATGAATGAAATATAAATTTCTTTCATGAATTCACCTTACAACAAGTAGACTTAACAATGAGCACAGAAATTTTGGTTTATTATGAGATAAGATATACACATACAAGGCATAAGAAAATAACTCAACCACCAGAGATATATTGAAGTAATTATTAATGAAATATAAATTTTGTTTATTTTTATGCAAATCTCAGTAGGATACAACAAAAACGGGAGTTCAAGTGAATGTAGAGAAGACAAAGGTGATGAAGATCGCCAATCAACAACAGCAATAATAAGCACCAGTCACCGTCAACGTGAGAAACTTAAAGAAAATTCTCTCGTTCACCTACCTAGGCAAGGAAGCATGGTTTCAATTACAGGTGGCGGCACAGATGAAGACGTCAGAGTCAGGATCGAAAAAGCAGGGCAGACTTTCATTAATCTGAAATCCTCGTGTAGATCTACTGCACTACACTCAACATAAAGCGTGAACAAGATCCGGATTTTCAACACTAATTTTAGTCAAGTCAGTGCTACTATGTGATGGTTGAGAGACTTAGCGATGCATTACGGAAAGCATTTCCAACAAACTACAGAGACACATCAACAGCTGCCGCCTACGCTCACTCAATACTGAAGATAAAATGGTCTGAAAGAATAAGCAACAAGGTAGTCACTCTGGCTGGCAACGAACCAACCAACAACCTATCACCCAACAAATATGCAGAAGAAAGTAGAGATGGACTGGACAAACCGAGAAAGCCATTCGGGGACATCACGCGCCACGCCAGGTCGTCGAGTGGAACCCAGATGGGAAACGACAAATTGGACGTCCGAGGTCAAGGTGACATGGAGAAGATGCTGTGAGGAAGAAATGAAAGCTTGTGGGTAGTCGTGGAGCCAGGTTGAAGAGACTGTAGAGAACAGAGTGCAATGGAGATGTGCTACTGAATTCCTACGTTCCCTAGGAGCCCAAGGGACAAATAATAATATAAATGAACAACTCTCTTAAAGGTAGATACAAATGTAATATAACCTATAGATGAGCTATATTAGTCCATAACTTACTCTTCAGATCCTTCAGGACAGTTATAAGTTGTACGGAGAACAGAAAAACTAACTAAAGAACTCAAAAGATTTTAAAACATCCGTATTTACTAAGCTATCGTTAACATATGTCCTTTACTATATTCAAGGAAACTTTCACTTTTGGTGTATTACTTCATTTGATCATAAAACTTATAAAATATCACAGTTAGAGTTAAAATATGTCACATAAAATAATATGGAGTGAATTTACTTTAGAGCTTTCAGATTAATTTTAAGGACCATTTATGTATCACAGCATAGTTTTTAATGCACATCGAAATAACTGTTAGAAACTATCAAAGTTATATCGATATTTTAGACGACATATAATAAAAAACTGATTCTGATATCATATTAAAGCCAATAAGTAAAACAGGCAGCTGATATTAACTTATATACTGTAAACGATTCAGACAGGTGAACTTTAGTGGACTAAAGTATCCCTGTGAAGTCAATAAACTATGACCTTATAAATACTTCCTTGAAAAATAATTCTGTTGGTGACAATTGAGTTGACTAGCTAATGACTGAAATAACCAAGTGATAAGGCAGTCACTAGTTAAATATTTCGACTCCCAAAAGGCTACTCCAACACTGACTGAAACTTCAGATTTCAGATACTTCTAAGTACCAACTAAAGATCAAGTAACTATGACTCCACTAGGGTAGTCAAATTCATCATCTTCTAATTAGTGGCCTAGATCTTCATCTTCAGTTTGATAGCTGACTCACTGATAATTCTAATGACTGTTGTATTTAGAATCACCGTCAAATCATTTGAATGACAGCACACATTTAAGCCATATTTCATGACTCGGATGTTTACGAAACGGAGCAGTTTAATTACACGACGGTGAACCATAACTTGGTTCTCACTGATATCCACCAGTGAACTGACCGAAGATGTTCCCATCCTGATATCGGGTTTCTAAGTGAACGAACCTATTTAACGTGGCTAGTGGTGCAGTCATTCAGATTTCCATACACTTTCAGAGTAACTGACCAGTAGGCTCAAGGAGTATCTTACGGTGACTCGCTGTTTAATATGTGATGGGTGGTGACACAGTGTACGTTGCATGCGAGGTGTAATGAAGTTGATAGACTATATTTCTGATGTCTTCCTTGCATATTGACACGGAGTATGCTGGCGTACTCACTTGTATCCTTGGTATGGGTTGCAGGTTACTGATGAGAGCCACTCTGATAACTACACCAGCTGGTGTTATCGAAATTGCAGAGAAACGAAGCTCTTATCACCCTTCCTGGCTGCGTAACGGGTCACAAAAACAGTCTCTGATTGGCTCTTGAACTGAGTCAACCGTCCGCCAACCACACAGTCAGGAAACACTGAAATCTTCAAGTACCACTGCTCTAATCACCACGACAAGAGGGTTAGCATCAGATGAGTGATGAGTGTGAGATACGCCCCACCTTAGCAGAATGCTACAGCTTAGGCACCTACGCCGTTCTTGCTAAATAGGTTTAGGTAGATATCCAGTACTCTATGACCTTCTGCGTACACCGTTTTCATGTACATGGGCTTAACTTGAAGCCGGTCTATCGGTAGGTGACACTGAGTCAACTTAGAAACAGGGTAGGCTTGTAAAACCAGACCAAAGTATACGTGCATACTTAATGCTTTAAAAGATTATTAGATTATCTAAAAGTGCGAAAAAATGAAACTTACCATCTAATGTTCGATTTAATTCACAGTCTTTTTTTATCCTTTCTCGTAGAATTTCTGCTTCTTTGGGGGATAAAATTGTAATTTCGGATGCATCCTATAAAAGAATTTAACAAAATTATAAAAAATTAACTCATTGGTTATTCATTTTATCATGTTTATTTTCATTTTCACAGTAAATCTTGCAATAGGGTGCTTTGCTTAAGTTAAAGTATTACTTAGGTATGATTAGTATGATATTTATCAGGGTGAATATTGATTTTGTATGAGTTTCTGTCACGACTGAAGATCAACAGAGAACCAAGAATGAGTTTCTTAGATGCTTTTCCAGTTAGCTTCAGTTCGGAGGTGAAACTGTTTTCAATACAGTGATGCTATCACTTGCTGTGTTTATTATATTGCACTACATAATTCGCTTGTTTATTATAATTCATTATTCGTCCCTTGGGTTCCTAATGCAACATACGGATTCACTAGCTCGTCTACATTCCACTCTGTCCTCTGAAATCGTTTCAACATGGCTCCACGACTGCCAAAACCTCTCATCTCTTCCTTACACCATCTCCTCCATATCACCCCCACCTCGGACACCCAACTCGTCACTTCCCATCTGAGTTCCACTCGACGACCTGGTCTGGCACGTGATGTCCCCAATCGGCCTTCTCAGTGCATGCCCAATCCAATCTATCTCCACTGCCTTCTGCATATTTATTCAGTGATAGGTTGTTGGTTGGTTCTCTGTCAGCCAGCCAGCCACAGTTCCTTGTTGCTTATTCTCATTATTCTGGCAATCCATCTGAGCTTCAGTAATGAGCCAGTGTAGGCAGTTGTTGATGAATGTCTGTAGTTTGTTGGAAATGTCTCTCGTAACGCGTTGCCAAGTCTCTGAATCATACAGAAGCACTGACTTGACTAGCATCAGTGTTGCAAATACGGATGTTATTCACGCTTCATGCTGATTGCAGTGCAGAAGATTTCCACACTGGTTCAGGTTAATGAACGCCGTCTTGCTGTCTTTCTTATCCTGGTTTTGACGTCCTCTTCTGTGCCGCCTGTAGTTATTTGTATAGTAGACATAATTTACTACTGGCTTAATATATAGCGCAAAGTAAATCTCTATGAAGCATAACCTTTAGTTACAATTATATTCGAGATTCACCATATACCTTTGTTAATAGTATCTTGAGTAATATCTTATTAAAATTGCACTGAGATATGATTTTATCTAGTTACTTTCCGACACAGACGTGGTGCTTATCAGTGACAGCGGTGTACTATAAAAAGGTTGTAGTTTAAAACTTTATCAATTAGTATATACAATTGTATTGCTTTTGCCTATTTTTTCCTTGACAAGGTCACGTGTATACCCAACTATTGGACTACTCAGTGAAACGATTCTATGGAACAGTTAGAAGGTATTCCTAATGTTTCTTTAGAATATATTGTATTCATGACCATTGACTGAATAGACCGAACCTAATAAATTTGAAAACAAATATTTTACACTAAAAAATGCGTGACATAATAAATATTCATTTAGTTTTATAATATTATCGTTGTAACATGTAGATAAATATCACAGTTCATTAGTGAAATATGGGTGTAACCACAAGGAAATTATGTCTTGAGTTTGTCAAAATTAAATAATGCTCATCAAATATAGGTAAGTGGAGCGTTTAAGTGAAATTTGCACACACGCCTATAAAAAGCATATCACTTATAAAAAATTATATAAATGTAATTATTATTCATAAATATCATCAACCAGACATCTGTATAATTCTTCTTATTCCATATTAAATTCGTTTAATTGATTTATAATACACAGTGATACAGTATTATTTACTTGATGACGTCTCGAGCATAGATTATTCCCCACTATCATTTCAGTGCAATCACACTACCTTTGACATCTTTTTATAATCCTGTCAATTCTTATTCTTTGCTTCTATAGGTAGTAAAACTTTCCATGTTTCTGGTTTAGGTGTTGTGTCATTTTACCTGCGTTGGGTGCTGATTGATTCGATGAATAAAGATTCAGCAATAAATCTCTGCATCTCTCACCATCTAATTATGTTGAACTTAGATGAAGTAGCTCTATCCCACCCTATGGTATGGTTGTGTTAATGCATGCATTGCAATAGCCGAGTCTTCTATTGATTATTCATGTCACCGGCGTCTGTCATTCTATCACTATTATTATTTGTCGCTTGGGTTCCTAATGGAACATACGGATTCACTAGCTCGTCTACATTCCACTCTGTCCTCTGAAATCGTTTCAACATGGCTCCACGACTGCCCAGAACCTCTCATTTCTTCCTTACACCATCTCCTCCATATCACCCCCACCTCGGACAGCCAACTCGTCACTTCCCATCTGAGTTCCACTCGACGACCTGGTCTGGCACGTGATGTCCCCAATCGGCCTTCTCAGTGCATGCCCAATCCAATCTATCTCCACTGCCTTCTGCATATTTATTCAGTGATAGGTTGTTGGTTGGTTCGCTGTCAGCCAGCCAGCCACAGTTCCTTGTTGCTTATTCTCATTATTCTGGCAATCCATCTGAGCTTCAGTGATGAGCCAGTGTAGGCAGTTGTTGATGAATGTCTGTAGTTTGTTGGAAATGCCTTCGTAACGCGTTGCCAAGTCTCTGAACCATACAGAAGCACTGATTTGACTGGCATCAGTGTTGAAAATCCGGATGTTATTCACGCTTCATGCTGATTGGAGTGCAGAAGATTTCCACACTGGTTCCAGGTTAATGAATGCCTGTCTTGCTGTCTTTCTTGTCCTGGATTCGGCGTCCTCGTCTGTGCCACTATCTGTAGTTGAAACAGTGCTGCCTAGATAGGTGTAGGAGGCGACTTCCTTTAAACTTCTCCAATTGATAGTAATCGGAGCTTGTTCTTGTCGTTGTTGTTGCTGGTTGGGTATCATCATCACCTCCGTCTTCTCGACATTCACTTGAAGCCTCGTCTTCGCTGCCTCACCTCGCCTCTTCTGTCAACTTGTTAGTTTTCGCCTGTAGATCTACGACTTTGTGCGATAAGAGATTAGACATATGTCATTGGCGAAATCCAAATATTCTAGGTACTTCGCCCCGGTCCAGCAATTGTATCCCCCTCTTCTCACAGCTCCTCACTGTTTCTTGCATGATCCAGTCCACTACAATCAGCAATATCATGGGGAATAGTAGACAGCCTTATTTTACTCCTCCCTGTCTTCACTTCACTTCAAAAGCATCACTGAGCTTCCCATTGTGAATCACTTCGTTGGCATGTGGCGTCTTCATATAGTTGTTGAATGAGATTGACAAAGGTTTGTGGCACCAAAACCATAGTGTTGAAGCAGTTTCCTGCCAAATTACCTCTCGGTTGACGCTGTCGAAGGCCTTCTCAAAGTCGATGAAGTTGAGGTAGAGTTGAGTTGATTGCCACTCGATGCTCTGTTCTACGATGATGTGAAGCGTTACAATTTGGTCCACACATGATTTGTACTTACTGAATCCAGCCAGACAGCCAGCCAGTTCCGGTCGTAATTTTGAATCCAGAGCATTCTTTAGTCTTTCCAGGATGGTGCGGCTTCATATTTTGCTTGCTTCTGGTGGACAGAAATGTGATTCCGCGCCAGTTCTTTCAAACACTTACGTCGCCCTTCTATTGAAGTATGATAAGGTAACCCTTCTTCCAGTCGATCGGCAGCTACCTTCCCTTCCTTGCGAATCTTCTCAATAGTGGTGTGGTGTAAACATGTCCACTGTTGTCTCTGCGTCCGCTCTCAGTGCTTCTGGCAAGATTTCATCTGGTCCTACCGCTTTCCCACATTTCAGTAACTTTATGGAGCTCAGAACGTCAACTTTTGTTGGAGATTTGTGTTCACTGGTGGTGGTGGTGGTGGTGCTCGATCCAACAGCTTTCTGAAGTTGTCAGCCCATCCTTTCCTTTCTTTCGCTTCCTTGGTAATCAGATCTCCTTCATCATCATCTTTTATTGGTTTCATCTGTGTTGATCTCTTCCTCCCAGATAACAGTAACCTGGTTATTTGATACAATGCTGCCAGGTCTCTGTCTCTCTCACCTCCAGCCTGATCTGTTTCACTTACCAGTGTTTCGTAGAAGTGTCTTTTGTATTTGTGAGCACTCTCTTTCACTTCTTTCTCCCGTGTAGTGTTTTATATATTGTACTCAGTTCCTCTTCTCGTCGTTCATCCTTGCACTACACTGGTTCATCTTCTGCTTCAACACCCTACCCCCCCCCCACACACACACACCTCTATCACATTCCATATGTCCGTCGAGATCCATTCCTTTTCCTCTCTTCTTTATTCTTCCTTCCTAATACCGTTGTGCAGGTTTCTTCACACATAGCTTCCAAAGACTTCCAGTGCTCACCACACAGGTTTCTTCAGTGATGGTTGCTCGATATCTCCCATTTTGTTTGATGGCTGACTGACGTGGAGATTCACTTTGTAGTTTCGTCCTTCAGTTTCTGTTCTGGGTGTTGTACTTGAACTGTGGTCTATCACCAACTTCCTTGAAGTCTTTCAACTTCATTTGGAAGGTGAGTTTCTTGCACTAGACAGTGAGTAGTGTGTACCTACATCTCCTCCCCTTATTCATCTTTTGTCCAGTACGCTGAGTCTCCACTTTCTTCATATTGAGATAAATTCGATCTGATTTTCGGTGTAGTGTGTCAATCTGGTGAAATCAAATCCATGTCGCTCGCCCTCAGGATATCCTTGTGCTTGAATACAGTACCTCCAACCACCAAATCGTTGAATGCACAGAATTCTGCAGACAATTCTCCATTCTCGTTCATCATCTCACCGAGCGCTTCGCAACCCATGGTAAGTCCACTTCCTGTGTTGTCCACTCCCAGTTTGGCATTCATGTCACCCCACCCATTAGAATGAATTTTGATGTCGCCAACTGGAGTGGTGTCTTGTCCAGTGTTGATTGAAGTTGTCTGTAGAATTACTCCTTCTTCTCTTCCTCATCTGCATTATTTGTAGATGCATAGCGCAGCATTGAATGATTGTGACCTTCCTTCCTTCCTTCTGAGTTCAACCTTGCTATCATGATCCTGATGCTGGAGGAG